CGCGTCTCCAAGCCGCACTCGCTAACAAGGACGCACAGCTCACTGCACTAGTATGTACTCAGCTTCACAACATTGGATCGCTGTAGTTGCATAATCTTGTTAATATATACTGATTTGTGTATACTTATTTGTCGTTATCTTTAATCTAGAAGTGATGCGTCTTCAGTTTCTCGGATTATTCCCAACCGTCACCCCGTTGTGTTCCCACGTGGAACAGATGAGAATAAAAAGTTTTGTCCGTCCCATCTTTTACGACGAGGGGACGGTTGGAACTTATTTTTTTATAACGATTCTGTTTATTATCTTATTGGTGATACTGGGACTAAACAACTTTTAGACATTAACATAATTGTAAGAAGTTCAACACTTATACTACTGATTCCCGCCAAAAAGGTGTGCTATTGTTATCCGCAAGGAATTAAAAAAGTAATTTTAGTAAAGTAAAAAAAAATTAAAATTGACCCAGAAGTTTTTCTGTTATTTCAATATAATATACAAATCTTTCTTGTTTATAATATTAGTATAGATTTTCTTAAGCTTTGTAACTGTGTAGATATTTATGGAACTGATTGTACCAGACAAACCAATTACCACTTATGACTTATAAGTAACTAGGATTATTATAAAGTTAATTTTAGGATACTGTAAAGTAAATTCGCTTGATATTTCAGAACGAATCCATTCAATCGAAGACAACAGAAGTGAACAACTTGAGGGACAAGATCACCAGCCTGGAGGCCGCAGTCAGCTCCGTCTCTGAAGAAAAACTACAGAACGAGGTCATTTTACATTCATATTTATGAAAACTATTATCTCACTCATAGTTATTTTGAAGTTTTTTATTGACCGACTTCCCAAAAGAAGGAGGTATTCAATTCGACGATATCTTTTTTTTTATTTTTTTTTTATGTGTGTTTTGGATAATTCTTTTTTTTAGTACTTAAGATTGTAAATTACGTGACCCAAATTTTTTATTGTCTATTGCAGAATAAATCGGAGAGCCTACGAGTACAATTAGCAGAACGAGTGCAAG